AACGAGACACGTGGATGCCTGGGATACGCCTCCACCTCCTGTAAAGAAATGTAATTAGTGGCCGGGCATTGGTGGCGCACGCCTTTAATCCCAGCACTCGGGAGGCAGAAGCAGGCAGATCTCTGAGTTCGAGGCCAGCCTGGTCTCCAAATAGAGTGCCAGAATAGGCTCCAAAGCTACACAGAGAAACCCTGTCTCAAATGTAATTAAGATGAAATATCTACTGTGTAGCTCTGCTTGTGTGTGTGTGTGTGTGTGTGTGTGTGTGTGTGTGTGTGTTAGTCACTTTTCTATTGCTGTGATAGAGCACCATGACCAAGGCAACTCATGGAAGGAAGGGGTTATTTGAACTATGGTTCCAGAAGGATAGGAGTCCACCATGGCAGGGAATCCGGGCAGTAGGTGGCAGGCATGGCAGCATGACAGCTGAGAGTTCACATCTTCAAAGCACAGGCCAGAAACAGAGAGCACACTTGAAATGGCTCAAGACTTTCAGTTCTCAAAGCCCATAACCATGACATCCCTGCTCCCGCAAGGCCACACCTCCTAAGCCTCCAGGACATTTAAGTCAAAAGAGCTCTTTTCTGAGCTGCCTTTGGTTATGGTCTTGTATCACAGCTATAGAAACCCAAACTATGACAAGCCTAGTTTGCTAATAATGTTTCCCTTGGAAAGTACTTGAGTCGGGGCTTCCAAAGCTCATGTTACCCTCCATACTGTCTCCCGAGCGCCAATTAGGATGGCCCATTAAGCCCTGCCTACAGAGTTCAGCCACTTTTCAGTTCCAAGGGCCAAAGCCTTCCACATTCCTAAAACAAACAAACAAGGCCCAGCATGGTCAGGTCTGTCACAGCAATAGCCCATTCTCTGGTACCAACTTCTGCTGCTGTGATCAACACCATGACCATGGTGACATACAGAAGGGTTGATTTGGCCTACAGTTCCAGATGGTTAAGAGTCCATCATGGCAGCAATTGTGCCAGCATGGTGAAAGAAACAGCTGAAGGCTCACATCTCAGATCCCAATCTGGGAGCAGAGAGCACAAAGGGCCAACCAAGTCTTTAAACCCTCAAAACCTGCCCCTAGTGACATACCTCCTCCAGCAAGGCCGCATCTCCTAAGCCTCCATAAACAGTGCTTCCAAGGGGACCAAGTACTTAAATCCTTGAGTCTATAGACGTCATATTCAAGCCACTACAATGTGTTCTTATGTGTATGCACTTGCCTGCATGTGTGGAGGTCAGAAGTCCTTATTCCTTATTTGTTGAGAGATGGTTTGCCATTGAACACAGTTTGCCATTTCAGCTAGACTGGCAGGGCAGCAAGCCTCAGGGATGCCCTTGTTTACAACCTCCCTGTGTTGGTGTAGGTGCATACACCACTACATCCAGCTAAGTGGTTACTGATAATTCAAACTCAGGCCCTCATGCTTGGGCAGCAAGCACTTTTCCCACTGAGCCACCTCCCCGTTTTGTGTGCAGCCCTTTCTGTAGCATGCTCTCCTTTCATCTCCACCACAGTACGAGGCAGGTATCACTAAAAGCTCCCCATTTTGCAAGGCCCAGGCAGAAGTTTGGTGAACAAGGTTCTAACAGGGTCCATGCATGTTCTGGAATTCAGTAATGCTCTAAATGGGTAGCTTCCGAGTGCCAAGTGACTTCATATTTCTAGGCCACAGACTTTTACTCTGAAGACCCAGCTTGACCTGCAGGCATGCTGAATTGTCACTCTGGCTTCTAGATTACCCTGGTGGTCCCCCTCCTCCACAGTCCCCTAGCATACTGTAGATAACAGACCTCTTAAGTGTATGTGGAGCTTTGTAACCAGACTCAAGTCCTGCCGGCATCAGGAATGTGCCTGGTACCCTTGATAGCAGCTTGAGATAAATGAGGTACATTCCAGCTCCGTCCTCTGACCTGAGTTTTAGGGATCCACTGGCCCAGCTGCTGCTCTGGGCCAGGGCTTTTGTGAGCCCAAATAAATCGCACCCTGCCATCTTGGATCTGTCTGCTCTTCTTCAGCCTCTCAGCACTTTCTACCAGTGGAGGCCAGTTCTTTTCCCTGGATTTCCCTGAACAGACCCCTCTGCCTGCTGGTCCTCTGGCTGGCCTGACAGTTTAACCCACCCAACAGGCAACCTGTTGAGGCCCCTAAGAGATCAGTGAGTGTAACATTATGTACAAATCTCCCGTGTGTCCCCCTTTGTAGGTCTGTACCCGGAAATAAGACTGCTAGCCAGGAGCAGCTGGGGATGCAGCTCAGTTGGCAGACTGCTTGCCTAGTGTGCACGAGGGTTAGATTCCTGGCACTGCATAAACTGGGCAAGACGGTGGATGCCTGTAATCCCAGCACTTGAGCAATGGAGACAGGGCTATCAGGAATTCAAGATCAACATACTGAGCTATACATTGAGTTCCTGGCTAGTCTTGAACATGAGACCCTGTGTCCAAAACAAACAGAATAAAATAGCCAGTCTCAAATCAAGAAAGTATCCTAAGGTACCCAGAACACTCTCTCTCTCTCTCTCTCTCTCTCTCTCTCTCTCTCTCTCTGTTTTTTCAAGATAAGGTCTCTCTATGTAGTCCTGGCACTTGCTATGTAGACTATGGCCTGAACTCAGAGATCTGCCTGCCTCTGTCTGCTGGAATTAAAGCACTAGGCTACCCAAGCCTGGCTACCCAGAGCTCTCAAAGAAACAGCATGTAGAGGTTTTGGGAGCAGATGACAGGAATGGAGAGAACATACCTTGATGGGGAGTGCAAGCTGCACTCCAGGAAGAAAAAACATGGAATCCGAAAGGCAGGCACACAAACACATCCTCCAGATCTGTGTGTGTTTCCTTTGTTTTGGGAAGGTATTGCTTTGACACTGAGAGTTTCTGCTGTGGGGATTCTGTGGTGTGGGGCAGCAACTGAGCGGAACGACTCTGCTGTATGCAGCTCTGCTACTTCAAGGCAACAAGTAGACATGAACCAGAGAGCAGTGAATCAATGCCCTGGAGTACATGATCTGAGTCGTAAGCTTGGGACAAGTCCCTGTCCCTCTGGAGCTGTTTCCTGTCTGTATACTAAGGGTCCAGTGCCAGGTCTGGGCACTCTCATGTAGCCCAGACTGGCCTTATGCAGTAAAGGACGACCTGAACTCCTGATCCTTCTGCCCCTATCTTCCATGTGTTAAGATTGAATGTGCTGACTACCATGGCTGGGTTTATGTGGCACTGGGAATGGAATTCTGGGCTTTGTGGTAAGCACTCAGCTGAGCTCAGTTCCCAGTCTTGAGGATCCAGGTCCACTCGGTCTGTTTTTCTCTAACAACTTGCTAGCCTGGGAGCATAAGCCAGACATCTGTCAATCTGACCCAGGGCATATGTCCTCCCTGGGTGAGAGACTCACTCCCCATCTTTGCTCAACCTCAGAATGGCATTGTGGGACCTCAGCTTAGGGAGATGAATGCTCCCTGAATAAACCACTCTGAGTGGTCTATTGCAGTCAGGACCCATCAGGACCCCTGATCATAAATGACTCAAGATCTGCTCCGCAGCTCCTGCAACTCCCTCAGGCTCTGCTCAGTACAGGCCACACAAGCCCCATATGGGTTTATTTGGGTGTTTTATAGCTGAGTATCTATCTGTTCCTTTTCCTTTCAGGTATCTATCTGTTCCTTTTCCTTTCAGGGAAGCACAGCTGGGGCAGTGGCCCCACCCTCTGACTCCTCATAGCAGCTGGGTGGAAACCTGTCCACACCAACACCCCCTTTGTTCTGTCCATGGCCTAGCTTCCTGTGGATATGGAGAGCAATCTAGTTTTCCCATGTGTTGTCCTGCTTAAGTCAGAATGGCTGTTGTTACTTACTTCTTACATTTTTTAGTTTCCAGCACAAGTGAGAATGTTCTTTCTTCCAGGCATAACCGGAGGACAAAGGAGTGAGTGAGGGAGGATGTTCCTACTTCCCCAGAAGCCTTGCTATCTCATGTGTTGTGGTGTCTTTTTGGCCCAAAAGAAACCTGCCCTATGACCTGGACAGCCATGCTGTTCACAGAAAACTGTACCCAAGAAGGAGCCAGGGATCAAGAGGATGAGGCCTATCATCATCAAGAGGCCATGTGTCACACTGCATGTGTTCTTTCAGATGACAGTCCTGAGACTCTGGTCACAGATGATTCACTCTAGGCCTTGTGGGTAGTGAGCAGTACAAGTACAAGTTCCAAGATGTTATCCTAAGTCCCTGGAATGACACTGTGGCCTTCCAGGATAGGCTAGGTATTACCAACAAGGGTTATTTTTATTTTGAGACAGTGTTGCTATATAGTCTATCATAGCTTTGAATACTGACTGCCCAGCCTCTCAGGTGCTGGGATTACAGGTATACACCATCATGCTCACCCACCAGGGATTACAGGTATGCACCATCATGCTCACCCACCAGGGGTTACAGGTATGCACCATCATGCTCACCCACCAATACCTTAAAAAAAAAAAAAACCACCACCAACAAACTTTGTGTATATACTCATGTGTGTGAGTACAGGAGATGCATGTGGAGGTCAGAGGACAACCTCACATGTAGCTCCTGGCCATTCACTTAGAGGCAGGGTCTCTCATCTATCTATGGGCATTCGAGGCTGCACATGCCAAATGAGGGGGGCCTTGAGCCTCAAGGGATTCTCCTGTCTTTGATTCCGTATCACTGCAGCAGTGCTGGGATCATAGACTCGTGTTACCACAGTTGGTTTTATGTGGGCTCTGGGGATATGAACTCAGGTCCTCATGCATGTGAGGTAAGTGCTGTACCCACTGAGTCATCTTCCCAGACACCAATGAGAGAGAGCCTTAGCCTTTAGAAACATCTCCACTCCCAATCTCCCACACCCCCATTGACACAAATCCCGAACACTGTTATCAGTGCTTCAATTCACTCCGTCTGGTTATTATTGATGGTGGCTCTGACTTAACAATTCAGCCAGGGCCATGCATGCTCAAGAAATAGCTTATAAAGCATGGACATTCTCATAGACGTTTTATTTGAATGGGTCATGTCTAGATTCTTGTTCAGTGTACAGACACCTCACGGTTCAGTGTAGTGCTTCTAATACAAACATATACAATGAGAAGTTGCTGAATATAGTGCACTTGATACAAAAATAAATTACAGTCTCAAAGCTACTGCAGAGTTTAACATGTAGAAAAAGTAAACACAAAATAGTTGGTGAGTCCTCATAACATCTATTGTATCCAGATGTAAAAATGAAGAGTAAAGGATTCCATGGAAAGACACACACACACACACACACACACACACACACACACACTCTTCTGATAAGAAATCCTGAGAATTAGTGGATATCACTCCAACAATGTAATAAGAGGGAGAACTGCAGCCCTACCAGCAGCAAGACTCCACAACAACTTGTGAACCACAGCAGAGCTCAGCGCAGGACAAGTTCCCCCATCCTGGCGACACCAGAATGGTTCCAGTTCATCCTGGCCATCCATAAACCCAGGTTTAGTTTTTTCCAGAAAAAAAGCACAAATGATCTATAAACACACATTCTTTATTTCACAGATGTATCCAAGAGTCCAACCAACTCCATGGTCAAGAGATGGATTAAATAATAGGATGGCACCAAGACTCTCACAGCTGTGGCTCACAATCTTGCCTTGCAGTTTCATGGACAAGGACACAATGTCCCGGAATGCTGAACTCCAGGCAGCACTTCACTGCTCTCAGAGCTGAGACCAGCACTTGCAGTGGTTCTCAGCCTTCCTAATTCCACATGATGCCTTTAATACAATTCCTCTGGTTGTGGTGACCCCCCAACTATAAAATTATTTTGTTGCTACTTCATAACTGTAAGTTTGCTACTGTTATGAATCATAATGTAAATATCTGCTATGTGGCTCCAAAGGGGGTGGTGACCCACAGGCTGAGAACCACTAGCTTAGTGCTTCATTGTAAATAAGCTTTAGTGAACACAGCTATGCTCCTGGGTACTGCCCCCTGATGATGCCATGCAGTACCAGCAGCACTGAGTGGTGAACTATTTGCTATCTCTGGCTCTCTGTAGAACAAACCTACTGTATCTGGAGATAGCTTGGTGGCAGAGTGAGACAGGGTCTCACTATGTAGCCCTGGCTTGCCTACAACTCACTGAGATGCACCTGCCTCTGCCTGCCAAGTGCTGGGATTATACAGGTGTGCATCACCATTTTCAACCCAAGGTCCATGTTTTGATCCTTAGCAACTCAAACCCAAAACCAACCAAACAAAACTTGTCAGTACAAATATATGCTAGGCTTGGTGATTCACAACTGAAATCCCTGTGCTTGGAAAGCTAAGGCAGGAGAACTGATATGATTCAAGACCATCCTGGGTTACATAGTGAGACCCTGTCTCAAAACAACAAAGTAAAACAACAAACGAATATATGGTACTTGCTAAATGAGAAGACAAGAATTTTGTTTAAGACTCATATTTAGAAAACAGGCAAGTTGCTGGGTGGTGCTGGTGCATGCCCTCAGCACTTGGGAGGTGGATCTCTGAATTTGAGGTCAGGCTAGTCTACAGAGGGTGTTCTAGGCCAGCCAGAGCTGTTACACAGATCTATCACTGAAAAAATGAAATCACAAAACAAACAAAAAACCTCAAAGTTCTTCACCAGTTGAATGACTAGTACACAATCTAGCAAGTGACAGCAGGACTCACTTAACTGGGCTCAGTTAAGAGAACAGAGGTCCAAGTTTTAGCCAGAATTGGGAAGAAGACCAAGCGGTAGATCCTGAAAGAGCTCAGAGATCTCATCTCCAGATACACCCAGGGCACCAGAGCCTGTGCAAAGCAAGTGTCTACTGACAGTCAGCAGGACCTGTAAAAAGTGTTTTTCACAAGAAGTTTTCTCAAAGCAATGTAGGATGCTAAGAAGCCTGCTCGTAGTTCTGTTCAGCAGCCTCCTGAGGACCAGGAAAGACAACTGGAGTCCTGCCTGTGTGGAGAGGACTTGCTACCCACAGGCTGACATCTCCACATCATTTATAGGTACAGACTCCTTTCCCAGTGCTGAGGGGGAGTCTAAGATTGCTAACTGTGACCTTCATGTCTTACTGGGAACTGCTATTCCAAGTCCCCTCCCAGCCAGAGAGACAACACAAACTTTGTCGATAGCTCCCCTGGGCACACAGCAGGCAGTTTCTGGGCACTATCTCCAATGTGACATAAATGCACAGTGTCAGCAGCTGCCCCTTTCCTAACTCAGCCTCACACTGAAAGTTGCCTTCTTACCCAGTTGTCACCACCTCCAGCCTCACTCTGTCATCATCACTCTGACTGCATCACTCACATACTGCCCCGACCTACCACTTCTACAGGTTTCTGACACGTGTGTCTAACCTGTCAGGGCAAATTCATCACTCTAAGTTCTAAACTAACTACTTGACACGAGGACACAGGATTTCTTTTAATGGAGATTCAAGTGAATCCTAACAAAGTCCTAGCAATATTCTGACTGCAAGAATTTAGGTATCTGGAAACACAAATGTTATGGGGGTACTTTTAGCTACTTAATCTTGAAGCAATAGTACTTGATCCTAAACAGGATGGGACATTTAGGACTTCTAAGCCACCATGCCTTAACTGTTGTGTGGTTAGCAGCACAGCTAATTGGTAGGCTGTCCAGGACTTAAAGACATTGGAAATCTGATACCCAGTCCAGTATGTTCTGGATCAAGCCCAGGGTTCTATTCTAGGTGTCATACTGTAAGATATGTCTTACCACTGAGGACTGGCAAAAACACTGCTAATGAAATGCATGAGCTGCCTACTGGCTAAGGGGGAGCCAGCCAGCAAGAAGGGCAATTCTGTCTCCTTTAACAAAAGTGGTTCCTAAACTGTCCAGCTTCCCTGGAAACTGTAAGCCTGAACCCCCAAGCTTCCCAGTCAGACACTAGCATTTGCCTGAGCACATACTATGCCACAGGGAAGTCAGGGTAGTACAAACCACACATTTGAATGACTACAGAGCTGGATGCCCTTTAGCTGAGAAGAATGAGCTCTCAACCATACACATGACAGGCAGAAAGCTGAACAAACTCTGGGAGATACAGCTTAACATTAGTGCTTGGTAACAAGGCAACACTAATGGTTTTACCAGTGTTTGCATGCCATTTCCATCCCCATGGCAACTGAGGTCCTGATCTTTCTGCCCACACAAAGTTACTTTAGTGTCATTTCTCTGTGCTGGGATTATAGGCACATATCCATACACTTTTCTACGATGAGCATGTACTGCTTTACAACAGAACGTCTTTTGGTACAAAGAATGGGGAATTCTAGAGAACTTTAAAAACGAATTAAAAAACCCTAATGTAAACAGACGTTATTCACTATACTGTGCATAGCTTCCTAGGGGATTCATTCAAGAACCAATCTCTCTCACCACCATTCCCTCATTTCTGCCAGGTGTTTTTCTTTCCTTTTCATCTTGAAAGTCACCAACTCACGCAGTGTATATGGAAAGAACCGGAGGCTGTGCGTACACAGGTCCCTGCCTGGAGCACTGCAGCGCTGACATTCACAACTGGTATGCCTATTAGGGATGCATTCCTCACTGGATCAGGAAGGAGAGCACAGGCCTCAGGCTGAGGACTCAGGTCTCTGACCAGACACCTGTTGTCCCCCCACCCCCATGCAAAGTTATAGACAGTGAGTGATGCGATGCTTTCTCCAGGAAAGGGGGTCTGGGGAGCTCACACACGCCTGGTAATGACCTCTCTGTAGCTCCTAACATCTACCTCTGAAGCAAATTCAGAGCAGTAAGATCATTGCTGCTCAGGATTCAAAGTGTGGGTGACATACAACCTGTATGCTCTCAGCTTCCCTGAGAGCCCTAGTCACTGTGAGATCTGGCCTGAGATCTACCCACACAGTGCTTTCACCTGTTTCCTGAATTCTGACTTCCGGGGTAATGCACACAAAAATGCCATTCATTTTTCCAGCAGGCTCTCAGGTTAGGTGTGCTCACCCTGACATAACAGGGAAAAGGCATCGAAAAGGCTGTTGACAGCAAGCCTTGCCATAAGTTGTTATAAACAGTTGCAACCGCTAGATGGAGACAAGAGCTTGAAGGAAGCTAGTGAATTTCACTGATTGAGGAACTGACTACGTAAAGATATCTTCAGTTATGTGGGATAGACTTGCAGTTGGACGGAAAATGCAGCTACTTTTTCTTCAGGGATCTGAAGTAAAATCCAGGTAGGTTTTCTCATGTAAAGGACTCAGCTGGATCCAGGGTTGACGGGACAGTGTGGGGCATTCCAGATACACTGGGGAGCAGCAGCCCTCAGAGCTCAGTAGTCAGCAAGCACTTCTGCTTCAAGGCTGGGTCTTCAGCCAGAGGAGCAGAGCTGCATAAAGACAGAGAGACTTAGTTAGTGAAGGACTCTTGGCTCCAGGAGCCCACATGGAGATACCGAGAAAAGAGATGACAGACCTAAATGGTGATGCAGTGCCACCTCGTGAGCAATGAGACATTCCAAAGGATGTTTTCTACATTGTTGATGCTCCTGGTTCCCTAGTATACATCTAACCCTTTCTTCAGGAGTCAAGCTTATTATGTAAGAATAGTGCCGTACGAGCATAAAAGCAACATGTTCTGCTTCCATCTGAACTTGGCTTTGTTTATTCGCTATGGAGAGGAGACTTTGGGATAACCCCCAAGGACCCATATTCACACAGTATCTAGTAAAAGCTACCTGAGGGTCCTCACCATGGGAATGTCATACCCTACTTCATACTGCACCTTGTCTTTTGTAGTAATGAGTGCCACCATTCACTACTATGAGAGCAGGCCACAATCATAAGAGTAAAAGCAAGAAAGGATAAATAACAACTTGGTTTTTAAAACAGAAATCTACAGCCTACTGTAATTTTTTTTTTATCTAGCAAAGACTAAACAAAGAAATCCTAATAATTATATGGAAAATTATCAATAGCAAGCAAAAATACTATGTTAAACAGTATTCAAAGACCTATACACTTTCAATGAAATTCAATCAAGACCTTATAAAATCTAACACTGTTATTTTTTAAATATAATCAATGTTTCTTATCATTTTTCTCCTATCAGATAACCTGAAAGCTACAACCGAGAAGTAATTTCCTCACCTGGTCACAGCATCTACCAAGAACGGGGCTGGAGGGGAAATGAGTGAGTATGCATCTTTAGTAGCACATCCTTCTGCCCCTGCCACAGACTTTCCACATCCTGCAAGCCTGCTGGAGATGGCAGCACTCTGCTGTGGAGAGGGACAACATGTCTTTACATAGAGACAACAGCATGCACCGCCCACCAGCAGCCTCACATCAGCGCCACTGACGGGGGCAGGAAAGAGGATTTCATGTTTCCAGCTGCTTATTTTTTGTGCATAGTGTTTTGCCTGCATGTATGTCTGTGCACAAATGTGTGGCTGGTGTCCAGAGGCATCAGCTCCCCTAAAACTTGGGTTACAGACAGTCGTGAGCAACCATGTGGATGCTGAGAATCAAACTGCAGTCCTCTGGAAGAGCAGCTAGTGCTCTTACCCACTGAGCCATCTCTCCAGTGCCCAAGCTGCTTATTTATTTTAATTTTATGTGTATGGGTGTTTTGCTTATATGTACTGTCTGTGTACCACATGTGTGCCTGGTGTCTGTGGAGTCTGGAAGAGGAGTTACAGATGGTTGTGAGCTGCCATATAGGTGCTGGGAACCAAACCTAGGCCTTCTGCAAAAAAAAGTGTAAGTACTTTTTTTTTTTTTCTTTTTAAGACAGGGTTTCTCCATGTAGCTTTGAAGCCTGTCCTGGAACTCCCACGGTAAACCAAGCTGGCCTCAAACTCAGAGATTGGCCTGCCTCTGCCTCCTGAGTGCTGAGGCGTGGGCTATCACCACCTGCCAAAAGTAAGTACTCTTAACCACTGAGCTATTTCTCCAGCCCCTTTCACCTCAAATTTTTATTTTTATTCTGTCTGAATAATTCAGCATTTACAGAAAATTGAGCCACAAATCTGAAGCCATTAAATGAACAGAGCTTTGATAATAGCCCCAATATCTATAGGAAAAACAAGAACCTGAGAATCCTTCAAGCTTCTGAAACTGTAACCAAAAAAATCATAAATAGTATGCACTTAAAAAAATAGTATGAACTTACTGGAATAATCCACCGGGGTGTGATCATGGATGATGAAGATACCTAAGACAAATTTCAGAGCCACTTAGTTTCAGAGAAGACTGACTGATTTTTATAATTACACTCATAATATTTTCTATTGTGAAATGCACTGCAGGAGATGCAGTTCCCATGGAGCATCCTGAGCTAACATAGCTTTCAGCCCCAGGCTTTCAAAGCACACACACTATTCAAGAGACTGTCAGGACTCTGAGGATCTCCATAACAGGAAATATTATAACTCAGGAATGCTACTGCTGCTGTTAGTTCATTTACTAACTCCTCCCCCTTTAAAGACAGGGTTTCTTTGTATAGTCCTGGCTGTCCTGGAACTGATTCTGTAGACCAGGCTGGCACTGAACTCAAGAGATCCACCTGCCTCTGACTCCTGAGTGCTGGGATTAAAGTCATGCACTACCACTACCCAACTCATTTATTATTCTTAAAATTTTTTAAGTTACATTTATTTTTTTATTTGTGTGTGTGTGTGCATTCATATGTGTGCGCACGTGCATGCACGCACGCATGCACTCCCCCCCCCCACAGAGAGAGGGAGAGAGAGAGAGAGAGAGAGAGAGAGAGAGAGAGCGAACAGAAGCTGCTGCTGGCAGACACTGGGCATTAGAAGGATATATGGTTATATGGTCTCCACTCTAGCTGACTTCCAGGCACTGTAGTTATCACAGGAGTATTTGAATGTGGCTTGACTTGAGTGGAGGATTAAGATGGCACTGGATGCACAGGGTCCAGAGATTACTAGCATCACTACTAAGACCCTAACAGTTCCAACTCAGGCTTACCCAGGTTCAGGGATTTAGGTAACAGCTGTTCACTAAGGGGTGGTGATGTTGGATGTGGTCAGAGATCCAGGTGACAGCTGTTCACCAAGGGACAGTGATGTTGGGTGTGGGCTTAGTCTGAGTTTACAGACTTTGTAAAGCAAAGGAGACATGAGTAGAATAATCAGGAATGTACAAAAGAGCAGCAGGAATTTGGTTGTATCTGGGATGGCTGTGACTGTTCCACTTAGCATGTCAGTCACTCATAGACCTGGCCCATTGTTTGCTTGTTTTATATAATTAATTATTTTAATATTGGTCATACTTTCACATTGGATGCTTAAGACCATACAGGTGGCCAAATTTAATCACTATTTTTTTTTAAACATGCACACACACAAACCTATTAAGGCCAGTTGAGGGTCTGGTCCTCAGAGGTCACTGGGTTTGGGAGGAAGGAGACTTTTGCTTCTTGAGATAAGTCAAGGGCCTTGCTTGACCATGGCTTTGCTTAGAAGCATGCAGGCTACTTGTCCTCTGTGTAGAATGGATAGTCTAACCACTGGGGTGGGTAACCTCAAACTGATATCTAAGCTACTGTTCTTGAAATGAGTATGAAAAAGGAGAACCAACAAAAGCAGGAAGAGACTACCAAGGCAGTCTTGGTAGTAAGGCAGACTTGCCTTACACAAGAGGAAAGTTGAATTATTATCAAATTACTGGGGTCATATCCAATTTAACTTATATAATTGAAACTCTGAGACAAACTCATTAGACAAAATAGGAAGTCAGACAAGGGTAAGTGAGATACCTCAGGGGATAAAGGGACTTTCCGGTAAGCCTGACCACCTGAGGTCAATACCTGGGACACACGTGATCTGAAGAAAGAAGGACTCCACCAAGTTGTTTTCCAACCCCACATGCACAGTGGTATGCACACCCACAATACACAAACATACTTGGTACATAAACAAATGTCAAAAATAGAAAAGTCAGACAATTCAGGTGTGGTGGAGACTCACACCTGTTACCGAAACATTTGAGAGGTGAAAGCCAGAACAATAAGTTACTCCTAGGTCAGCTTAGGCTACAGGGATTAAACCCAGCTGCATTGGCTACATCTCCATCCCTGTGAACACTCAAGAGTAGGAGCTGTAATCTAGACAAAACATTAAATAAGAACCTCACTCTCAAGGCAAGCATGCTATTGCTGACCCAAATCTCAGCTCTCTACTTTGGTCTGTTTAATTAATTTATTGATGTATATGTCCCAGTAACTTTCTGTACTCATGTGTGCAGAAGCCCATGGAGACTCAAAGAGAGTGGTAGATCCACTTGCCTCTGCCTCCCAAGTGCTGGACTAAATAGTGGGCCACTATGCCACACTACTGTTTTGGTTTTGTAAAGCTCACGTACCACTAAGACAAAGAGCAAACTTATTGTAAGTGTTCTGAACTATGCTCATGGGGATTTATGTCACTTACCCTTGTCTGACTTCCTATTTTGTCTAATGAGTTTGTTTCAGAGTTTCAATTACATAAGTTAAATTGGATACGACCCCCAGTATTTTGATACTAATTCAGGTTTCCTTTTGTGTAAGGCACCTCTTGGTAGTCTTTTCCTGCTTTTGTTGGTTCTCCTTTTTCAAGCATTAATTTTAGAGGCTATCTCTTGTCTATTTCAAGATTATTTCAAGTCTGGTTCAAGATCAGATTTGGGATTATTTCTTCTCCTTTGGTAATGTCTTCTTATTTGGCAGACTATATCACCTGGGAACATTTTTGTAAATGCAAATTTTGGAGTCTTCCCAAGATATACCTAATTTGACACACACCCAAGTTTGTTCATTAATGATTTTATACAATCAACCCATACCATAGAAAGTGCCATCTCCACCCCCTGAATCCTCAGAAAGGCATTTAATTCCCACAGCAGCTCTTGTTCTACAGTTAACAGTCACTGAAGTAGTTTTGTGTCTCTCTAGCTGGAAGTCCAGCTGAAGAAATGGACTGTGCTGTGTTTGCTTTATGGCAATGGTACTGAGTACCGCTGTCTTCCAGGTTAAACAAAGGCTGAGATTTTCAATACTACTCATTAATTATGCTCCCACTTTTTTTTTTGTAAAAAAATAAACATGTCCTTATAGTTTTAGACAGGCTTTTGCTATATGTCTGCCTGGCCTGGAACTTGCTCTGTGGATCAGACTGGCCTTGGACTTGCAGCAATCTTCCAGAAAGCTGGGATTACAGACATAAACTAACAAACCCACATTACTGTTTTAACTCTTAAAATTTTTTTGTTTTAATTTTTATTTTATGTGACTGAATGTTTTGCCTATATGTATGTAAGGGCATCACAAGTGTTCAACAAATGCTAAGACCAGAAGAAGGCAATGGATCCTCTGGAACTTGAGTTAACTAGTGCTGTGAGCCACTACATGGGTACCAGAAACAGAACCTTGGTCCTCTGCAAGAGCAGCAAGAGCTCTTAACCACAGAGCTCCTTGTCTTAACTCTTCATGCTGTTACAGGCCCCAGGTTTTCACTCATGTTATTTAATATGGTGTTGAATTATGAATGGGCTTATAGTGACATGTGATTTCCATAGAGTGAAATGCAATTCAAAGCAGCAGAATTTGAGTACAGAAAGGCAATGCTAAAGAAGCAAATACAAGCTCTTTATGTCCATGTGGTGTGTACATGACACTGTGCACATGGAGGTTCTTAGATGTTAGTCTATTTGTTTAAGGCAGGGCTTCTTATGCTCCACTGTGTACACTTGCTACCAAATTCTATTCTGTCTCCTCTTATGTGCACTACCATGTCCAGATTTATCTGAGTTTTGGGGATCTAAACTGAGGTTCTCACAATTGTGCAGCAAGTACTTTATCTAGTGAGCCATTTTCTCAGTCCCTAAACTCTTCTTAAATGAAAAGTCATACTAATTATTAAATAAGAAAAAAATTGGAACCTACCAGGAACATTTTCAAAACAAGTCTCTACTTTGCTGTTGTGAGGCATATTTACCTGGGGTGTGACTGTGTGGTCCATCAAATTCTCAGTTAGAGAAAGAAGTAAGGCATCCAATTCATCTGTAGCATCCTGCAGAAGACAAGGCACCAAGAATCCATGAATAATTCAGCACTGCACTGATCTTTCCCACAGTCTCTGAATTCCTAATAATGATCTGGGCCTAGCTAGTGTTAACCCTTTAAGCAGAAATGAATATTTGGAAATGAGCTATCAACGATTCCACTTCAAGTAATCAGAACTAGGAAAAGAAGTGCTCTATACTTCATGTAGCTATTCCATTTAAATAGACAAGACCTGGTAGAGTAAGTCAGCGACTGGTTTGTGGCCAAGCTGGCAGTTTGGATAGGACAGTCATTGTGTCCCATTTGAATTCTTCTCCTGAGATAGGAAGGGAAAGAACACCCAGGGGTGGTGAGGCTGTTTAATACAGAATGGGGAAAGCTAATGTCCATTCAGCAGTAGAATGTGGTCATGTAAGAAAAGAAGTTAAATGTTCCAACGGCAGGGCTGGTTGACAAGAGACAGCTCAAGGAAAGCATACACTTTTGATATGGTTTTGAAAGCTATGGACTATAATTGCACCATTTTTGCATAAACAAAACAATTATTTTTTAAGTTGATGGAGAAGCTTAAATATATGTATTTGGTTTTGATTTAATACTAAAAAAAAAAATATTAACAGGTATGGCCAAACTGGAGGGGCCAGCTCATTGTGGGTGGTGCTAGTCTTGGCTGGTAGTCCTTGGTTCTATAAGAAAGCAGACTGAGCAAGCCATGGGGTATGAACCAGTGAGCGGCATTCATCCATGGCCTCCGCACCAGTTCCTGATCTGACTTCCCTCAGTGATGGATTATGATGTGGAAGTGTAAGCTAAATCCTTCCCAAGTTGCTTTTGGTCAAAGTGTTTTACTATAGCAATATAAACCCAAAGTAAGATAAGACCTAGCTGAAATATACATAAATATCAACTACATACTGTTTTTGCATAGTAGGAGTAAGGGTGATTTATAGTTTTCTCTTTTGTGAAGTATCTGGTAAATTTCTACAACAAATGTACACTGTGCAAAAAATGGCTAAATCATTTGTGTTAAATTAGAAAGAGCCTGGGTTTCTGTGATTTCTGCACTGGTTAGGGTATAGCAAGTGGACACAATCAGTGAGAGGTGCCTGTTGTGGACATTTAGTTAGTGCCTATTACTTGCCATCTACTGTTTGAGACAGCAGGGATACAGCAATGAACAAAACAGATTATCCAGGAATGTTGGTGTACTACTGTACTCCTAGTCTGGGGAAAGTGTCCACACGGGCACTGGAGAGTCTAGCGACTCTTGGGAAGTAGGCAAAGAGGCTCAGCTGCTCCTCCCACCTCAGTCCCAGTAACACCGAGAAGTCACCCAAAGTCCCTAGTCACATTAGGGGTTAAACTCAATAGTATCTTGAAAAACGGAAAGCCATCTCTTACCTTTAGTACAGATTCACTGTCTGCAGCTGTGGCATGCACCAGAGTGAGAGAATCTTTGCAGAGGGGCACATTGTTTTCATTTGATACAGTACTAGAAGGAAAAAAAAAAACCCCACAGATCATGGAGGACTTGTATAGAGGTGATACTGCTGTAGAATTCTTCAGGAAGAATATGGAAGCCATGGAGAAGAGTAAGATAGGGCAGTTGGAGAAGAACATTCAGCTTTGATATCTAAGTCAGAGTCCTTTGCTACAGATCCAAACAGCACACTAGCTTGATTCCTTCCCAAATCACACTAAAATGAGAGATTTGTCTTCAGAAAACAAAAAAACAAAAACAATTCATAGTACCTCAAACTACTAAGGGTTGCTAGTGTAATTTAAAACCATCAGAAAATTCAGAATGAGAAATTTAGAAAAGAATGATTACAGCTTAAAATCCAGAGAAATTATGTAAAAAATAAGAAATGAGGAAGACTGACTTTTCTTTCTTTTTTTCATTATCTTTTTTGAGAGATGGTCTCACTAGTTGCTCTGGCTGTCCAGAACTCACTATGTAGACCAGCTAACTGTGAACTAACAGAGACCCACCAGTTTCTGCCTCCCAAGTGCTGGGACTAAAGATGTGGGGCCACCATGCCTAGCCCTGCTGGGCTTCCCCCACACCAATCTATGATAAACTGTATGAATGAGAAAGCTCAGTGGATCACAAATCTGATACATAGCTAAGACAAAAGAGAAGAATGGGGAACCAGGAGGAGCCATGGTGAGGGCACTGGCTGGAGAGCTGCTGCAGAAGGTAGAAGCATCATCCAGGATGTTCCAGATACTGAAACAGGTAAGAGGATGCTGGTGTACCTGTGACTTGCAGGCCTGGCATATGACAGGGGTTCTTATCTCCAGATGACAGTAACAACAATGTTCTACACATGGCTTTGGTGCCAGGAAGAAAAGGGAAGACCACAGCTGATTATCAAGTTATTACCACCAGCTGGAAATCCAATCCTCACTATCACTGACAAGTTTGGAAACATCAGCTTCTGCCCCCATGTTTCCCACAAAATGGAGGAAAAAAAAAAAAAGGATAAGGCCTAGATTGCAAAACTCAAGACATGACAATGAATGGAAGTGATTCCTGTTGTAGTCACAGGACTGGGGTAAAAAGAGACAAAGAAATGTAAGAAAGAAAAGTTATGAGACACAAAAGTAATTAAAATGTCCCAACAAATGAATACCGAATATTCAAAATCAAAAGCCTTATGACTTTCTAGAACCCACCCTGAATATTAACAATAAAAGTCAGCCTATACTAAGCCTAGGAATAATGCAAATGCAGAAAGCCAACAGCAAATAGTAACCTAAGAGTTACAAGACAGAAAATCAGTTCATGCTTCTGAAGAAGGAAATGACTCAGAAAAGGAACCAACCAAGCACTGAATTTTAAAGTATGGACTATGTTTTAAAATGACTTCTCTGAACTCCCAAGAGAGCGGACTGCTGTGGAGCTTGCTGTGCTGTCCACATGGGAAGCAGATAAAAGGCCTCCAGCACATGCATCAACCCAGCATTCCACCTAAGCAGTCCTTACATACTACTGAGTGGGGAAGGTCACTGCAAAGTAAGAATGAACAACCCTGGTCGACCTATGAAATGGCAGGTAAAATGAAGAAACAAAAAGTAAGTTTTCCACTGGGTGGTGGTGGCGCACACCTTTAATCCCAGCACTCAGGAGGCAGAGGCAGGTGGATGTCTGTTTGAAGCCAGAGTGGTCTACAAAGTGAGTTCCAGGACAGTCAGGGCTATGCAGAGAAACCCTATCTTGAAAAACTAAAGAAAAAGAAAAAAAGAAAATGATGCATGTGCCAAGGGTAGGACTTCGGGTCTCCTCCTGTGCATGCAAGGTAGCACCCCACCACTAAGCTGCAGTCCTGGCAATCTTCTAAGTGCAGCAAATCATCTGAACACAAAGCCAACTATAAAGACTTTTTGAGAGCATCTTTCTCTATTAAAAAGTTTTATTAATATTAGTTTACATTCTTTTAAAGTATGTGTCTGTGTAGGCAATATTGTTCCAAGGCACAGGTGCATGTGTGGAGACTAGAGGGCAAACTGTGGGAATCTGTTCTCTCCTCCTACCACCTGGGTCCAGGGATTAAATTCAGGTTGTTATGCTTGGCTACAAGTGCATCTACCCACTGAGTCATCTCCCTGGCCCTAAAGATTCATTTAGTTTTATTTTATGTGTATTAGTATTCTGCCTGTATATATGTACAAACATCATGTATGTGCCTAATGCCCACACAGGCCAGAAGAGGGTGTTGGGTCTCTTTAAAGTATAGTTATGCTGGGCAATAGTGGCACACGAGTTTAATCCCAGAACTTAGGAGGCAAAGGCAGGTGGATCTCTGAGTTCAAGGCCAGCATGTCTACAGAGTGAGTTCCAGGCCACCAGGGCTACACAGAGAAACCCTATCTTGAAAAAAACAAAACAAAAATGAGGGGGAGGGGCCCCCAGCCATAGGACATCTCTGTCAATTACTAGCTGAGTTCTAAACTAGGGCAGCAGGCATCAGAGGCTGTAGCTTACACAGATGTCTCCAATGTTACTTTACACAGCCATAGCTATTATACAACCACACAGCAAGCACAACCAAGAAAGTCCAAGGAAGCGAAGATTGCTGCTGAGAATTACATCATCAGGATCAAAATGTCCACTTTTCAAATTCAATGTGACAGAGTGTGGTTCATTCACAAGGAAGACTGTAGCAGAAACTCCCTTGAGAAAGCACAGGACACCCTGAGAAGTTCAATACAGCTGAAGCACAAGACAAAGACTTTAAAATAGCAAGTATGACTGTGTTCAAGGACCTTAAAGAGGATATGAATAAATCCATTAATTAAGTCTGTGAAAACACAAAGAAACAGAGTATGAAAGAAGAAAACAGTTCAATATATGAAGTAGAAATAGAATCACTAAAGAAAAAACAAACTGAAAAAAGCTGGAAAAATTTAGGATGTCAAACACAAACTTCAGAGGTAAGCCTCACTAATGAAGTACAAGACATGGAAAAGAGAATCTTGGGTATTGAAGGCAAGGTAGAAGAAAAATAAAACTCAGTAAAATAAAACATTAAAACCAAACAAACAAAAACAAAACCCATGAAAAGACACCATGAAAAGACCAAATCTACAAATAATAGGGATAGTGGAAGGAGAAGAAATGACACTACATACCCATCAAAGGATACTGCAACTATAAACATTGGTACATCAAATACAAGGAAAACACAAGTTCATAAAAGAAACACCACTACACACTGACCCACACATAGTGACAGTGAGTGACTTCAACCACCCCCAACTCTTACAAATAGACAAGTCATTCAGACAAAAATTAAACAGAGCCATGCTGGAGTTAAATAACATCATGATTCAAATGGACTTAGCAGATATTTACAGAACATTTCACCCAAACACAAAAGAATACACCTTATCAGCAGCTCACAGAACTTTCTCCAAAACTGACCACATACTTGGAAAAAAAGCAAGTCTCAACAGATAGAAGAAAACTGAAACACCCTGAATTCTATCTGACAACCACAGATTACAGCTGGATATCAACAGCAAAAATAACAGAAAGTATACAAACTCATGGAAACTGAACTCACAACTGAATAAAAAATGGGTCAAGACAGAAATCAAGAAGAAAATTAAAAACTTTTGAGAATGAAGTGTAAATATAACATACCCAAACAGATGGGGCACAAAAAGGCAATTCTAAGGCAAGTTCATAGCAAAAATTGGTGAGATCTCATATTAATAACTTAGTGGCATATCTGAAAGCTCTAAAACAAAAAGAACAAATAACACCCAAAAGAGTAGACATAGTGGGCAAGAAATAAACTCAGAACTGAAATCAGTGAACCAGAAACAAACAGACAAAAAGAATACAAAGAATAATGAACCAAAGAGCTGGTTCTTTGACAAAAATCAGTGAAACTTAACAAACCCTTAGCCAAATTAGCTAAAGATACATAGAGAAGATCCAAATTAATAAAATTAGAGGTTAAAGGTGACACTGCACCAGACACCAACAAAATCCAGAGAATTATATGGATATACTTCAAAATGTGTACTCCACCAAATTGGAAAACCTAAAGGAAATGGATGAATGTCTTGATATATATGACCTATAAAGTTAAATCAAGATCAGATAAACAACTTAAACAAACCCATAAACCATAGTGAAACAGAACAGTAGTTAAAAGTCTCCCAAGAAAAAAACCGAACAAACAAACAAACAAAGCCCAGGGTCAGATGGAGTCAATGCAGAATTCTAGAATTCTACTAGACCTTTCAAGAAAAATTAATATAGATATTCCTCAAATTATCTCACAAAATAGAAACTGAAGAAATATCTCTAAATTAATTTTCAAGGCTACAATTACCCTGATATTTAAACCACATAAAGACCCAAACAAAAAAGAAAATTACAGACTAATATCCCTTATAAACATAGATGTAAAAATTTTCAATAAAATACTTGCAAACTGAATATAAGAACATGTCAACAGCCAGGCATTGGTGGTGCATTCCTTTAATCCCAGCACTCGAAAGGCAGAGGCAGGCGGATCTCTGTGAGTTCGAAGCCAGCCTGGTCTATAGAGCGAGTTCCAGGACAGGCTTCAAAGCAATACAGAGAAACTCTGTCTCAAAAAACAAAAGAAAACAAAACAAAAGAACACGTCAACAAGATTATTTTTCATGGTGTTAAGTAGGCTTCATCCAAGAGATACAGGAGTGGTTCAGTAAATGTAATTTTATAAATGTAATCTACATAAACAGACTAAAAAACAAACTATATAATCATCTCATTAGATGCAGAAAGGGCCTTTGACAAAATCTAACATCCCTTCATGATAAAAGTCTGGAGACTAGGGGTACAAGGAACATATCTCAATGTAACAAAGGTGATTTACAGCAAGCCCATAGTCAACATAAATATAAACTCAAAGCATTTCCATTAATACAAGGTTGCCCACTCTCTCCATATCTATTCAATATAATACTTGAATTATAAGCTAGAGCAATAAAAATGTGTAGGGGAAATGATGACTATGCCCGCTTGGGGCCTGGCACAGGTGACGCTGTCCATGCCCACTTGGGGGCTGGCACAGGTGATGCTGACCACGCACACGTGGTCAGAGTGACGTAGTAAGGGCTTTAAATATCAGAGAAGCACACGCATGCCACTCTCTTTTCACTCCCCCACCTGGCTGAACAGGACTGGCTCCGTTGCGTGAGTACTTTTCCTAATGAAACATTTGCTTTCAAACTAGTTCTGACTCCTTGTGTTCCACTGTAGCTGGTGTCAGAAGTAGGAATCGAGGGCCTAAGAACCTGCTCAGCACTCTCCACTGTTTGGCCCCATCGTGGTTTCTAGAAACCCCATGGCTTCAGTGGCTTGGGACTGAGACAAGCAGGGCCATGTGTGCCTTCCGAGGGTTTCCTCTATTTTTAGAAACCTGAGGCTCCTCCCTTTCTGTGTTAGCCTTACAGCCACCATACTCACTGCCAGTGCACAGCCACATGGCACCTGATACCGCTTGGCCCTGCTGGGAGAGTTCTTTTTTTCTCTGCAGGCCTCCAATACTGCCACCGCTTGCAGGCTAAGTGCTGCCGCTGTTCGCGCCCCTTGAGCTGTGCTGCTGCGAGTCATCTGCCGATACTCAGAACCAATACTGCTCGGTGCTGCAACTGGCTACGGCCCTGCAGGTTCTCCAAAGCCCTTTCTGCTAACAACAGCCAATCCCTTCAGTCCATTCTATCTTGGTCCAGAAAGTGTTTAGATATTTTTCAGGCAGTCTTGAGACAGACTTCACCTCCAGTACTCGAAGTTGAACACTGCACCACAACTGCCCAGCCACTGCACCATCACAACCAAAGTGGCTATAGGAGTTGGCACTCCCAACAGCAGTGGAGGAGTGTTCCCCTTTCTCCACATCTTCTCCAGTGTGCCTAATTTCTATGGCTTGTAGATGACTTCGTTTTCTGAATCCTCTGGCAAGCTTTACTAAATCATAACTAATATATTATCACAGGTCATCCTACCAAAAGTAATCTATAGATTCAATGCAATCCCCATTAAAATTCCAATACAATTCTTCACAGACCTTTTCAAACACAATTTTCAACTTCATATGGAAGTAATCTAATCACTGAGCCATGTCTTCAGTCCCATGAGTGCTGGGTTTTAAGCCTTTGATATATGTGCTATGATCTATATAAACCTAGAGGTTAGGTACTTAGTAAGGGACTAGATGGCAGGGGAGGAGAGGATCTCCCAAGGAAAGGTAAATAGAATACATTGTTATGATGACATGGTGGGCAGCCTTGGTATTTGGAGGTATTCAATGGGGAGAAGGATGGAAAAGAGATAAAGAAGGGATATGGGGAAGGAAAGACAACTAATACTGAGGGCCATTTGAAAACCTATGCTGTAGAAACTTCCTAAAATATATACATAAATGAAAGAAACCTAAATGGAATCAACAAAGAAGGGGTGGACAATGCCCTACCTAAGACATCTTTCACCAAGTGAAACCTCCAATGGCAGGGGTGTGTTATATCTAGTTGAGTCGTTAGCCAAAGGGACACTAAGGAAACCCCAAACACCTCAGGCCAAGGTCACTGGTTGGTCTTTACAACTGAGGGTAAGGCCCTATTGCTGAGGACCACAATGGCATAATCTCATCAAACATGGAGAAGTCAAGCTGGTGCATAATAATTAGAGGTTTGCCTCACTGCTACCGGCTAGTGCTCATGGCACTGGAAAGTACTTTAAACACACCAGAGCAGAAAGGTAACCATCAGACCAGCCTCAAACTCTCCTGCCTGCAAGATATGCTGGTGCAATAGTAGCACAGATGTTGTGGGAATAACCAACTACTCTGACTGGATTTAAGGCCCACTCCAGGAGCTAGAACCCATACCTGACACTGCTTGGGTGGGCTATGTGCCTAGGGGAAGACCAAATACTATAGTTCTGCTAAAGAAAAAGTAATAAACTGACTCCTCATGACATTCTACTGTACCTATAGATCAGTGCTGTGCTCAGCCGTCCATCATCATAGAAGCTTCTTGCAATAGATGGGAACTAACTGGACAATATGAAGAGAGCCAGAGATTTTGGAGCACTCAGTCCTAAATAGGATATTTTCATGAAAACTCTCCCCTCAAGGCTCAGGGAGCTATGCAGAAGAGGAGGTAGAAAGATTGTGAGAGCCAGAGGGGACAGACGGCTCCCAGGAAACGGTGGGATGACCCTAGACACAATAGGACTAATGTACATATGAACTCACAGAGACTTTGGCAACATCCACTGGACCTGCACAGGTCTAAGCCAGGTAGGGTTTCATTACTGAGAAGGAGGAGTAGACACAGGACACAGACTCCCACCTCTAACCAAGAAGCTATCTGCAGCTGACTCCTACTTGCAAATGAAAAATTAGTTTTCTCCAACAGAGTCTCACTGGATATATAAACCATACTTCAGGGTAGGGCTTAGCATTAGATGAGGAACATAAAATGAACATTATTAGTGTCTACTTTTTGTTTCAAATTGCTTTGTTTGGGCATTTTTTTTTCTTACTAGTTTTTTGCTTATATATTTTGTTTTCTGACTTTGTGTGCTTGAGAGGGGAGGAGGGAAGGGAGAGATTCTGTTTTTCATTTGGTTTGGGGTTTTTGTTTTTTAAAGAGAGAAAGAAAGTGTATGGAGTAGCAAGGTTGGGAAGATCTTGGATAAGTTGTGGGAGGGAAAAACATGATCAGAAGACAGGCTATGAAAAAACTACTTTTCAATGAAAAAAATGCTAAATATCCAACAACAAACCCAAAAGAAAACAACACAAATGGAAAATCCAAGATGAGAAAGCAATGTATGACATATTTAAAAGTGTTACTAGAAAAGGGAGAAATGTCATCTCATCATAATCCAAGAGAGCTATCCTTCAAGAATGAGGAAGAAATGAAGATACACTCAAACGAAAGCTGTGTGGGTCTGTCACAAGTAACTATGTCCAACATAAAGGCTAAGGGGAGTTGCTCCACTACCCCTTAACTTGAAACTGATAAAGAAAACAGAGACAGCAGACAAAGGACCAGCTCATTGGATACTGCGATGAACAAAAACACAAAGAGGCAAGAACAAGGGATAAATGCCCAACACCACAACCAAGCGGCAACACATTCATTGAGGAGAAAAGCAGCCTAAGAGAAGGAGGGCAGCAAGACATTTGCTCAGCTCATATGAGAATCTTGGCGCTCAGCTTAGTGGAAGAAGATGACACTCAAGAGTCACAGCAGACTCCAGTTAAAAAGGCGTTTTTTTGTTTTTGTTTTTGTTTTTTTGCTCTATAGTTTGAATCAGTTAAAGAGAAATAAGAATGTAGAATGACTAAGAATATCTTCAAACAATCTAAAACTAGAATGTAAAACTAGACATTAGCTGGCTCTCTGATGCATAGCAAAGAGTGAATTCAAGCTGTCTCAAATAGTTATAATGAAACCAATGATGTACAAGAACAGGTAGCAGAAAAAAAATAATAAGAAAATCAACTTAATTCACTTTACCCAGGATTGTACCTGTTTGTGGCAGCTTCCTGAACACTGGCATTTTTATGAGTTAAACTATCTTCTCTTGCAGCCTAGGAAAATAAAATAATAAAAAAACAAATCTTTGAAAGGATACTCAAGTAAGAAATTCATCTTTCTTTCTGGTAAAAACAGAAAAATTAACTTGTTCTATTCAAATAAGAGGTAATTATATCTCCCTGGCCCTAAAGATTTATTCAGTTTTATTTTATGTGTATTAGTATTTTGCTTGCATATATGTACAAACATCATGTATGTGTCTGATGCCCACACAGGCCAGAAGAGAGTGTTTGGTCTCTTTAAAGTATAGTTATGCTGAGCAATAGTGGCACAAGCCTTTAATCCCAGCATTTAGGAGGCAAAGGCACCACCATCAACAGGCTGAGTGACTGCACTTTCATGAACTTTCCTATCCCATCTGAGAGGAATACTGGTCTGGAATCTTCTTCTTGTAATACATTTCCCTAGCTTTGGTAGAAGGATAACACTAGTAGTATAAATTAGGAAATGCTCCTTCCTGTCCTATTTTCTGAAAGAGTTTGTATAGAACTGTTGTTGCTTCTTTTTAAAATATTTTGTAGAGCCAGGCATGGTGGTACACCTTTAATCATAGCATTTGAGAGGCAGGTAGAACTCTGTGAGTTGAAGTCTAGTCTGGTCTACATAGTGAGTTCCAGGACACCCAGAGCTACATCAATAGAGAGATCTTGTCTTAAAATAAGTAAATGAAAAAATAAATAGAATATTGGGTAGACTTTTTTTTAACCATGGAGTCATCTGATGTTAGAATTTTCTTTATAAGGAGACCTATCATAAAATAAAATCCTTCTAATTTAGAGGCATTAAAATTATTTCTCATTTTACTCAATCAAAAAAATGAACAACTGAAATGTAAGGTCATGTTGTCTTGGTCCATTTAGGTTGCTGTAAGATGCCATGAACCAGAGAGCATGCAAATAACAAGCATTCATGATACACAGGTAGAAGATGGAACTTTCCAGGTCAAAACACCAGCCCCTCGGGACAAGCCAGTTCCTTGGCCCTTTTCTTTTTTCCTTTTTTTTTTTTTTTTTTGGTTTTTCGAGACAGGGTTTGTCTGTGGCTTTGGAGGCTGTCCTGGAACTAGCTCTTGTAGACCAGGCTGGTCTTGAACTCACAGAGATCCGCTTGCCTCTGCCTCCTGAGTGCTAGGATTAAAGGCGTGTGACACCAACGCTCAGCTTATTGTTTTTTGTTTTTTTGTTTTTTCCCCTTGGTCCTTTTCTAAGAGCATTAAAAAAATTCAGTTTATATGTTTCTTTGTCCTTTGCATTTATTACTTTATTTCATTCTTTCAATGCATTTTAAAGAAGGCATTACCATTATCTTATTTTAAACAAAAAACAAAGCTTGAGAAATAAACTAATTTGCCTCAAAACACAGAATTTGAAAAGGATAGAATAGAAATGAGATTCTAACACCTATACTTTCATATCTTACATTTACCATCTATTATAATAGTATGTTTTGTGTTTGTCTGGGGTTATGCCATAGCTAGGGTTACTATTGCTGTGATGAAACACCATGACCAAAGCAACCTGGGGAGGGAAGGGTTTATCTGGCTTATGCTTTCACATCCATGTTCAATTCATCCCTGGAGGAAGTCAGGACAGGAACTCAAGCAGGGCAGGAACCTGGAGGCAAGTGCTGATGCAGACACCATTGACAGCTGCTGCTTACTGGCTTGTTCTTCATGGCTGGCTCAGCTGGCTTTATTATAGAATTCAGAACCACCAGCCCAGGGATGACACCACCCACAATGGGCTGGACCTTCCCCCACTAATCACTAAGAAAATGCCCAACAGGCTTGCCTACAACCCAATCTTTTAGAGGCATTTTGTCAAATTTCTCCTTTCTGATTACTATAGCTTGTGTCAAGTTGACATAAAACTAGCCAGCACACATCAGGGCTGTATCTATTAAAGGAAGCTTACCTTATGCACTGCTTCTACTTGAGCCTTCAGAATATTGCTTTTGAAGTCAGGAGGAACCCTTACTGCATTCAATCCTGGGCTCTCAATGGCATTATTAAGACATTTCTCAGTCAACTTTACCACTTCTTCCTGAATGTTAAAAAATATAATCACTCTTGATAGGCCATAGTTATGTGGAAAGAGGAATGTTGAAAGTTCATATTCAGACAACCAGGAACTAATACACCGCAGGCAGCTATCTGCTGTTCAAGACACTCACTCCTGTAGCCATCTACTGCAGAATGAAAGGGATTGGCCCCTAGAGGGTCTGATCCAAAATCCACCTGGGATACATGTCAGCAAGTGTCACATATCCTCCATGAAAGTTTTAATTCCATCATTTCAGTAACTCAGCTGCTTAAAAACAGGAATTGGGTTCTGAGAAGTATAAAGGTCCTGATCATTCATAGTTCATATTTCTAACTCTGGAGCTGTCACCAGGGAAGGATGTGATTTCATGTAACAAATTACATGTAACAGTTATTGTAACAAATATGTAAACATTCTCAAACACAATGCTGAAACAAATAAATCCACTAAATAAACACTGTAATTAAAACTTAGCTATCAGAAAGAAATGAAGGTAGAATACATTTAAAAGAAATGTAAGCAATTTGTATTGCATTTAATATTTTGCTACACTAAATAGTAATTAATAACAGGATAGCTGCTGGGTCTAGGACTGCATATCATACCACCTTCCAGGTATGAACAAACCTGATGTACTTATTCCAATTTTGATGTTTCTCAATGTGGTCTACTTTAGCCTCTAGGCAGCACCCCAAATTCTGAACTTAAAAGACCTTGTTTTCTGAGACTCTCTTTATGTAACTCGGAAAGGCCCTGAGCTAGTAACCCTCTGGCCCCAGCAACCTGAAGACTGAGTTACAGGAGTACACCAGCAGGCCTGGCTCCAAATTTCAATTTTTAACAAGCTTTCCTATGTAATTCTGATATAAAAAGTCTGAGAACCCCTTCTTAAGATTTGATCTTGCCTGTAACCCCCTTGCTCCTGTTAGCAGAAGAAGTGTGTGTGTGTGTGTGTGTGTGTGTGTGTGTGTGTGTGTGTGTGTATGTATGTATGTATGTATGTATGTTAGTTACTGGGGACTGAACCTAGGACCGTGTGCATCCCCATCTTTCTGGTTTTAATTTACAACAGGATCTCATTAAGGTGTCCAGGCTGGTGCTGAAATCACTCTGTACCCTTGGCAGGTCTTGAACTTACAATCCTTCTGCTTTAGCTTCCAAGTATCTTGGATTATGGCCCTGAACCACCAGGCTCAGCTCACAGTAATTCTCCATATCCTTTAACAATCATGGCTCAGTTAAATGTACTGACATTGTCCCTTTCCTGAAGACTACTATGTTTCAGAGTTGTGTACTTCTTATCATTTGCACATTACAACAATCCACATTTCAAAGCCTTAGAAACACAAGATATTAAAATTAAAAAAATATGCAAACCACTCAACTTATGACCTTCAGTCAGCCCAATAATGCTTTTTCACCATGCTTAGTTTTTAAATTATGTGTATGAATGTGACTGTATGTAAATGCAGTGCCCATAGTGGTCAGAAGAGGGCACCAGATACCCTGGGACTGTAGTGACAGATGATTGTGAGCTACTATATGGGTGAGCCTCCATGTGGGTGCTAGGAATCAAACCCAGGTCTATGGAAGAGCTGCCAGTGCTCTTAACCACTGACTTTCTCTCTAGTCCCTCAGTGTGTCTTTAAAAAAAAAAAAAAAACACTAGGAGTTGGGTAGTCCCAGCACTTAGAAGAAAGAGGCAGGCAGGTTTCTGAGTTTGAGGCCAGACAGGTCTGTAGAATGAGTTACATGACAGCCAGGGCTATACAGAGAAATTCTGTCTAAAAAACAAACGAAAACAACAAAAACACCAACAAATATCCATCATGAAAGACCTTACATTTTATTTATTTTTAAGACAGTGTCTTACTAGGTAACCCTGGCTGGCCTGAAACTCACCATGCAGAACAGACTGGCCTTGAACTCACTGAGATATGCCTGCTTCTGACCTTAAAATTATTTTTTCTCCATTTATTCTTTGTGTTTTGCCTGCATGTATATGTGTCTAGTGCCTGCAAGTTCAGAAGAGGGTGCCTGAAATTGGAGTTATAGATGGTTGCTAGATGCCACATGGATGCATGGAATCAAACCTGCGTCCTTTATAAGAAAAGCTACAAATGCTCTTAGCCACTGAGCCCCTTCTTCAGTACCACCCACTGATCCTAGAACTCTTCAGCCCCATTAAAATTCTTAATGTTTCCATGCAAGTTTTCTCCATCCTACCTACTTATCAACACATTTCACCTTTTAAAATAAGGAACACAGGTCTACTAGAGCTGAACAGACAGACTTCCCACCAAAAATGAGACAGTGCTGTGCTGCTGATTAGCTTTCTGCCAACCTGACACAAGCTAGGCTTTCTAAGAAAATGAGATCTCATCTGACAAAATGCCCCAATTAAATTGGCCTATTGGCAACCTGTGGGCAGCTGATTAATGATGTGGTAGAGCCTGGCCCACTGTGGGCTAGAATAAAGTACACCAAGCAAGCCATGGAGAGTAAGCCAGTAAACAGCATACCTCTAAAGCCTTTGCTTTGCTTCCTGCCTTGAGTCCCTGCCCTTACTTCCTTTCATGAAGAACAGTAAGCTGTAAGAAGAAATAAATCCACCCCGCTCCAAGTTGCTTTCGGTCATAGCCTTTATCACAGTAATAGAAAGCAAATTAAGATAAGTGTCTTGGAAAGTAAGTCTTTCTGGGAACTATGATATTATATACCAAGTAGATACAGAAGAGATTCCAATACCTGGCTATTGACATTAATGTCAACAACAGGAGGTCTAGGAGACGGCAAGATGTTCTGCTCCATTTCCAGTTGTTTGAGCTTCTCTGTGTCATCTTTTAATACTAGAAAAAAAAATTGGCAAAACTTCTCATTAGTCTGCCTGGATCTGACAGTTACATGAGGGTGTACACTAAAGTTCTGTCTGTCCTCCACTAAAAGTAGAATAAGCTGGATAGTGGTGGTACATACCTTTAGTCATAGCACTTGGGAGGCAGGGGCAGGTGAATCTCCAAGTTCAAGGCCAGCCTAGTCTACAATGTGAATTTCAGAACAGCCAGGGATACACAGAGAAACCCTGTCTTGAAAAAAAAAATTAGAGGAAGGGGGGTGTTATGAAATCATGTCCTTTAGGTTAAAGGGATCTTCTGAAAATGCCTGTCAATAAACCCAATGGTTTCTGTGTGTGGGTGTACATTGGAACCATATCAAGGGCCTTCAAGAAATTTTGAATTCCCAGACTTGTTCTAATCTTTTAAAAATCTCTGTTTCTGGTGTGTGTAGGTCAGAGGACAACTCTGAGAGGTTGCCTGCATCCTTTGAATTCTTTCTTGCCACCATGGGTTCTGCAGATGGAATTCAGGCCGCTAGGCTTACTTACAAGCACTTTTGCCCACTGAACCATTTCACTGGTCAAGAATAATTTTACCATACTTTTAGAACAGTGGTTCTCAACCTTCCTGATGCTGTTGGCCAACCCTTTACAGTTTCTCATGTTGTGAACCCCTTTAACCATAGAATTATTTTTGCTGTTATTTCTTAACTGTAATTTTGCTACTGTTATGATATAAATACCTGTTATGTAGGATATCTGATATGTAGTCCCTGTGAAAGGATCATTTGATCCCCAAAGGGGCCATGACCCACAGGTAGAGAATCACTACTCTAGAAGACAGACTTTGATAATGGACATTTCTTAAACTCTCCATGGATCTTAATGCATAGAGCTAAAACTCACTGGTCTTTACTAAATCCTCCTTATCCAATTTTTTAATTCCTATTTCTGGCTTTGTTATATTCTAAATTATTGACTGAACTTAGCATGATGCTGACACCACAAATGTTTTGGCTTGCACTGATAAACTAGTATTTTCTTGTTTTTGAACTAAAGCTGCTTGGCTGACAAACATCCTGAGATATGCACAAACAAGCAAAAACAAAACCAAACAAATATCTAGATACTATTTGAACCTACTCTTCCCATAAGAAAAAACTTTTTTTTTTTTTTTTCTGAGATGAGTAGCCCACCAAGGGTTAGCATTCCATCTTGTGAAACTCTGGATCCATTCCTGTTTAGATAATTCCTAGAGGCCAGACCCAAGACTTGACTCTATCACACCCCTTCCCTTTGCATTATTGATTAGGAATTAGCCCATCATGTTAGACTGTAGGGCAGAGCTCCCACCACAGGATGACAGGAAACTCCCCAACTTGGTGTGCTTGCTTGCTTGGTTTGGGGGCTTAGTACCCTTTTACAACTGCTCTGCTGAGTTACTTTTACTTTGTGTTTCTCTTTGTGTGACTACACAATTTGGGGACTCAACCTGGATTTCAAAATCTGGGAATCGATCCCTTCCCTTGGGGAGACCATGTTCTATAGCCCTGTTGTGGTGGTCCCCAAGTTCCTGGTGAAGAATGGTTTTTAAATCAGTAATCATCCCAGTATGTAAAATTTCTTAGCAATGTGAGGGAAGGGCCCAGGGGAGCTCTGCAGTGACCAGGCAACTCCATTCACCAAACAAGGAAGAAAAATGATAAGGGGTGGCAAAATATTTGCTTGGCATTAGGGGCATCCTGGATAAATAGTGCTTGAGTGAGAGATGTGCTCTGAGCATGAGGTGAATGTGGAGCCTCAGTCTACAGTTCCACAGGTGCTCAGGTGACCTCATCTAGCTCATCAGCAGTCTCTTAGATCTAGTCAGCAGTTTGTATCAACCTGACACCAGGTGGCAAAGAGGTTGACTTGGAGTACAAGAAGCTTCTACTCCAGGGAAGTAGGATTCAGTCTCTAAGGGACTCTCATATTTGGAAGTCAGGATAGGAAATAGCAAAAATAAAAAGAGCTCTATCTAGGAAAAAATGAAATTAAGAATACAATTCTCTCTGATAGTTCATTGGGGATTTGTGTTTAACAACTGGAAGGGTAATGAGAAAACTAAAAACAAAAAATAAAACAAAACTCACAGATATAAAGAACTGTTGCTTTATGTGGACCCTGGGCTGATCTGTAAGCCTTTGGTCTTCTGGACTGAATTCAAAGGTCCCATGAGAACTGGGTCCACCAACTCCTAACTGAATATGCTGGCAACAAGAATCTCCTTGCTCAGGAAGAGACTGATGTGGTAGTTTCAGTAAGAATGGCCTAAAAGGCTCCAATGTTTGAATGTTTGGTCACCAAGGAGAGACACTACTTGAGAAGGATTAGGAAATGGGGGAGGGTTTTGAGGTTTCAAAAGCCAAAGTCAGGCCTAGTGGCTCTCTGCTGCCTGCAGACTGGGATGTAGAACTTTCAGTACCTCTCCAGTGCCATGTGTGCCTGTGAGCTACAATGCTCCCCACCATGATGACAGAGGACTATACCTCTGAAACTCTAAGCCAGCTCCAAATACTTTCCTTTATAAGAGTTGCTGTGGTCACAGTGTCTTCACAGAAATACAATGACTGACACAACTGATATATACTCTGTTGGAGAGAGGAACTCAGTCTTTTATCTGATGAAAATGGAGATTAAGAGAAGTCCAATAACATGAAAGAAATCTTCAAAATCTTCCTTCCCCCTTCCCCTAAGAGAAAACTTCGGATCTTATCCCCTCAGGCTTTTGTGGCTGACTGATAGCCTTGTGGTGTAAACAAAATATTAAATTTAGCTCCTTAACTTCTCTCTCTGGACACAGGATTTTCCTCTCCACCATCGTTCCCTCAGAGAACCTGGGAAACTTTGGACCAGGCTTGGGGGAAGGGAGGGCAGATAACCAGTGGGAGTGGTAGGTCTGTCCCTGCCTTAGACCATGTGGTCCCTAGGCAGTTGCTTTACTAACTAAAAGCACCACACAAGGCTGCTATGCTTTTCAATCAGGATGAACTATTTTTCACAAGTTTGGTTCTGAGGGACTTAGATTATGTCAATAGGGATCAGAATCACAGATGTCTGACCTCAGCTATCACTATGCTCAGGTGGGACAAAATGGTACCAAGGTAACTTTCTCCTTCCCAGTTTATCCAAGTACCCTCAGAGCACCACTTATGGGTGTAAAGTATACCTTCCCATTCCCTCGGCTTCATTAACAGGCTCCTTTGCAAGAAATGGAATGCACCTTGCATCCAGATGACAGTTTGGTGTTCACAACTACAACTGTGGTGAGATACAAGGATTTCCCTTCCTCAGGGTAAGAACATGGAATGCCTTCCCTGTGTCTTTGCTTTGCTTTTTTGGGCCTACACACCTAGGCCACATAGACTGTCTCCTGCTCTGTCCATGTTACCGAACATAGGTGGTTTTTTGGTTTTAAAGAAAAGGAGGTGAGCCTCCACTCAGTTTGAGGAATGTGTGAATCCAACACAGATTTGAGCCCTAATGGGAAATGGACTCATTTTATCACAGACTGAACTCACCACAGTAGAAAGTAGCCATGTGGTGTTGTCACCATCAAATGGAGGGAATGTTACCATCTTGGTCAGTGACATTCTCAAGATTGTGAAGGCCATGTGACTTTACCACCATCTTGGTTAATGCAACCATACAGAATAAACCAAAATGGTAGCACCTATAAATCTTCCTAGTGCCACTGGACATTGCCCTGATTCTATAATGGCAGTTAGGATTATTCCTTTAGGGTATATGAATGAGAGAATGAGAAGAACAGAAGTACAAACTGGCTAGACAGTTTAGGGTAGAATATGGCCCTCTCCTTCGGGATAACTAGTTTCTTGGCTGAAAGCCATAATGTTTTTGAGCCTGATGGTAGCTTCATCCTTTCTAGAGACTAGAGATGCCAGATGTGTTTGGTATCCTCTTCCGAGAGGATAATGTTAGAAAGGTAAAGGCTCATTAAAAGAAAAGTTCTAGCTAAAAGAATATAATCTCTGACCTAACATTCAAGTTGGTCCAGGTCAATCATGGCCAAGGACCACTCCTAGGAAGGTGGCTCACCTAAGTCATGCTAACAAATCCCTTGTATGTTAGGGACCATGTCCAGAAATTCATTAGACCATGCTCACATTTCCCAGTCACTTTTAACAATAATTTGTTACTAGAGACTTCAGAAGGGCTGTGTATGCTGGCTGAGTTGGAAAAAAAAATGTACGGTGGGGGTGTATGTGTCAGAAAGTTTTTTCTTTCAAAGATGGGCAGCCACCCAAAGCCAGTATTTTACAAACCTCCTTCACCTTGCGAAACTCTTGCATACATGCCTGTTTCCCTGACTCCTGGATGCCAAACATTCCTGAGGCTTGACTCTATTACACATCTTCCTTTAGCAGCATTTTGGAATTAGCTAATTATGTCCATCTGGAAGGGTGAGCTTCCACCAATGGGGTGATAGAGTCATCACACTCTGATAGGATCAAAACTAAATGCCCTTCCCATCCCGGTGTGCTTTCCTGCTTGGTTGAGCACCCTTTGCAAACGCTGTGTTGCTGAGCTAATTTCGCCTTGTTCACTCTCTGTGTGATGCTAGGAGTATTCTTCTCCAAATTCTTAACATGGTTCTTCATTTTCATACTGTAACCAATATAAAATACAGAGTACATTGGACAGGAAGACAGAGAATATGAAGTTAGGCATAAGAACATATGCTTGCATTCTCAAGACCTTGGAGGCTGGGGCAAGTGGATCACTGCAAGTAATCCCAAGGCTAGCCTAAACTACATAGTATGTTCTGGGCAAGCCTAGGCTATATACTTAGGTCTTGTGTCAAAACAAAACAAGACCAAATAGACTTTCACTCTCTAAATAATTTTGTATGTGTGTATGTTATATGTGCATGTATGTGTGTGTGAGAGGATATATGTACTACAGAGACCAGAAGTCAATGTTAGGTGTCTTCCTCTAACACTTTATTTATTTATTTATTTTTTGAGACAGGGTTTCTTTCTGAATCTGAAGGCCATTTATTTAGCTCTCTGCCCACCCTGCTGCCCTGCTGGGGTCATAGACATGTGCTGCTATGCCTGGCTTTCATGTGGGTGCTAAGGATCTGAACTTTAGATTCCCATGATTTTGTGGCATTCACTTTAGTGGTGGAGCCATCTCTATAACTTCTGCTCTTAATGTAAGAATGCTCTAAATAGTCTCATTGTTTGACTTTAAGGAAATGGTATAAATACGAACTAAGTTACATGAATGAGATTCCTATACTTGGGAAGAATTTCTTCTGTCACCACTTCAATAGCATTCAAGGCCTTCTTGAATACTTTCTATAATGAGAAACACACTAACTCTTAGGTATCTATATCTAGGGTATGGCAGAAGGAACTAAAAATATTTTTCTTCTACTGATACAGAATTTGCTTTGCTCTACTTGTAAATTGCTTCTCTAAGATTTACCAGTAAATCATTATAAATAACTTCATATATGACTTCAAAGTATATAGAGAATCAATCTTTTAAAATCTATTTAGTTTTTTGAGACAGGGTTTCTCTGTGTAGCTTTGGAGCCTATCCTGGAACTAGCTCTTGTCGACCAGGTTAGTCTTGAACTCACAGAGATCTGCTTGCCTCTGCCTCCCAAGTGCTGGGATTAAAGGCGTGCACTACCACCACTAGGTTTAAAATTTATTTTTATTATTGTATGTGTATGGCGTGTTAGTAGGAAGGGGTATATGAGTGCCACCTTGGGTGTGTGGAGGTCAGGGGACAACTCTGTTGAATTTGCTCTCTTCTGCCTTTATGTTGAGTTCCTAGGGTCAAAGTCATATTATCAGACTTGTGTAACAAGTACTGCCTTGGTTGGGCCATCTTACTAGACCCTTATTGGATTATTTATAGGGATCCCTACTGTTGGCATTCTGGCATAAAGCTACAATACCTACTCCAATACCATGTCATTCTAATCTAATACACTCTGTGAACAATTACATACTTAATAATTTCTTGGTAATACAAGATTATTATGGCACTGAAGGAACAATTAAACTTAAAATTTATATAACATAAAAGAATAAAAATAAAATTAATATTTCCATCTCCATAAAGATGATGTAGAACCAATTAGCCACGGTATTTGTGATATGCACAATGCCTGTGTGAGTCCATCATGGTTGGCCTCGTGGACTGTTGACATTCCCTCACAGAAGGGGAGGTAGGTCACTGGACCCTCACATGAGTGTCCAGCCACTCTTCCTAGCCATTTGAATACAATTTTATCCTAACTGCACATGGGCTGGGGAAGAAAGTATCTGGGAGAGGGGCTACAGTATAGAGGCTGGGAAGATGAGCTAACAGGGATCCATTTACATGGCTACTAGGGAGCTCTCAGCCATGCTGGGTGCAGACCTTCCAGTGTAGCTTCTTTAGGGCCACCAACACTCATCTTTAACTTCTCACTGACACTCTGTAAGTAAGCCCAATCAACTCAATGTTGCCCAGGGTGAACTCTGGTGGAATCATGCTTTGGTTTGTCTTGGGGACCTTAAGAGGAGGGATTAGATTGTGTTCACATCTCTGCCCCTCCCAACCTTCCCCAGGAGGATTTTTTTCTGATTCTAGAAGTACTGTGCTTAAAGGTAATCCTGCCTCTGGCAGGATATAGATCCTGATAGCTTTGGTTTGTTATCTTGTATCTTTCTTAAGTTAAGGAAGAGCAACCATTTCTAACAGAAGGTAGAGTCCAGGGCAAGGTTATCAAAATTTAACTATTTAAAAAAATTATGACAAGGGAAACACTAATATCTGACAAACAGAAATGGAAAAATTTTTTTAAAAATTTATTTTTAGTTATGTGTATAGGAGTGTTTGTGTGTGGTAGGTGCATATGATCTTCCATTATCTTCTTAATTTGTACTCAAAGACCAAGTAAAAACCCAGAATGAACAATTTATAAATTTAGAATCACTTATGTATTATAAATGTTATAATACAATGTTACATTATCTTGGCTTGGAGTAGAGATTATTGATAATATGAGGTTACATTATCTTAAATTTTCCCCAGTGTTCTCCTTAAATCAAAAGGCAAGAGGACCAAAGTATTCCCAACTAAGCTATTAGGATACAACATTTCTGGAGGAAGTGGTTTAAATATCTTGCTTTAAAAGGAAAGGTAAGTTGCTTCCAGGTTCTGGTTATTATGGATAAAGATGCTATGAACATAGCTGGGCAAGTGTCCTTGTGGAAGGATAGTGAATCCTTTGGGTATATGCCCAAGAGTAGTATAGCTGGGTGTTGGGGGAAGATCAAATTCCAATTTTCTGAGAAACCACCATATTGTTTTCCAAAGTGGCTGTACAAGTTTGCATTCTCTCCAGCAATGGAGGTGTGTTCTCTCTGCTCTACATCCTCTCCAGCTTGAGCTGTCACACTTGTGTTTTTGATCTTAGCTATTCTGACAGGTGTAAGATGGAATTGAAGAGTTGTTTTGATTTGCATTTCCTTAATAGCTAAGGATGTTAAACATTTCTTTAAGTGTTTCTCAGCCATTTGAGGTCCTTCTGTTGAGAATTCTGTTAAGATCTGTCCCCCCCCCTTTTTTTTGATGTCTAGTTTCTTGAGTTCTTTACAAATTTTGGAAAATAGTCCTCTGTCAGATGTGGGGTTGGTAAGATCTTTTCCCACTTTGTAGGTTGCTGTTTTGTCCTACCAACAATGTCCTTTGCCTTACAGAAGCTTTTTAGTTTCATAAGGTCCCATTTATTAATTGTTGTAACAGCCACAACCCAGATGTTGAACTGAAGAACGGATAAAGAAAATGTGGTACATTTACACAATGGAGTATTTCCCAGCTATTTAAAACAATGACATCATGAAATCTGTAGGCAAACAGATGGAAGTAGAAAAAAAATCATCCTGAGTGAGGTAGCCTAGACCCAGAAAGGCAAACATGGTATGAACTGACTCATGAGTGGATATTAGCTCTAAAGTAAAGGATAACAATGCCATAGTCCACAGACCCAGAGAGTCAAGATAACAAGCAGGAGTCAAGAGATGCTCAGATCTCCCTGGAAAAGGAAAACAGAAAAAGATTTCATGGGTGAACTGTGAGTGGGTGAGGATGGGAATATGAGGGATCATGGTGGGGGACTACTGAAAAAGATGACTGGAAAGGGGGAGCATTTTGGGGGTAAGGTAGAAACCCAGTGCAAGGGAAAGTCTCAAGAATCTACAAGGATGACCACAGCTAAGACTCCTAGCAATAATAGTTGCCTGGCCATCTCCAGTGACCAGACAAGCCTTCCAGTGGAGAGATTGGGACATCAACCCAGCCACATAACCTTCAACCTATACAGTCTGTCCTGCCTATGAGATCTGCTGGGGGTAAGGGTGACACAGAGATTGTGGGAGTGGCCAATCAACAGGTCCAGCCTGAGACCCATGCCATGAGAGTGAGCCTACCCCTGACACTGCCTGGAGTGCCAGGACCCAGAGCCTGGATGGCCCAGATACCTAGGATAGAACCAAACATAACTGGAGAAAAAAATGTCAATGTAATGATACTTAATGATATTTGCTATATTTATAGATTGGCGCCTTAGCCCAATTGTCATCAGAGAGGCTGCCCCCAACAACTGATGGAAACAGATGCATACCCATAGCCAAACATTAGGCAGAGCTCATAATGAGGGACAGTAGTAGCCAGAGGGATCAAGGACACCACAAGAAAACTCATAGGAGCTCACAGAGATTGAACCAACAATCAGAGAACCTTTATGGAACTGACCTAGGCCCTTGGCATAGATGTAATAATTGTGTAGCTGCTTAGTCTTCTGGTGGGACTCCTAACAGTGGGAGGTGGGGCTGTCTCTTTTACAGGCTTTTGGGACCCTACTGGGTCATCTGGCCCAGCCTTTATACAAGTGGAAGTGCTTAGTCTTACTGCAACTTGATATGCCATGTTTTGCTGATATCCATGGGAGGCCTGCCCTTTTCTGAATAAAAACTGAGGGCCAGTGGATTGGGAGCAGGGCAGAAGGGATATGAGGGAGGGACTGAGAGGAGGGGAGGGACTGAGAGGAGAGGAGGGAAGGGAAACTGCCATCAAATTAAAAGGGGGTGGTAATCAAAAGGTGTTGGGATTGGAGATAGCTCACCAGGTAAAGGTGCTTTATTGGAAACCTGAGGATGTGGACCTAAGTTTGATGTCTTCAGTTCACATAGTGGAAGGAGGGAAGTGACCCTCAAAGTTGCCTCCAATCTCTACATGCACAACATGGTATGCACCACCAAATAAATACATGAAATAAAAATGTTTTATATGTCATTGATAAATTACAGAACAGGTACTTACTCTCACATTCAACTTTAGGCTCCTCTAATTCATTTGACCTGGTAATTACATTAATGTCATCTGGAGCTGGAGAAGTTTCCCAAGTATCTGATGTCCTTGTTACATCACCAATGGTTGTTTCTAGTAAGTCTGGGCTATTTAGCAAATCGACATTCAGAGGCAAGCTGCAAAAGTAAGAGACAGTTTACTTAAACCAGTACATTTATCATTAAAATAAACTGAAATACAAACAAAAAACAATGTTGGAAAAAACTAATTGACATGTTTTATTGAACTGGCTTTATTCAGTTTTCAAAATCTTTAGATATACTTTTTCCAGGCAAGATGGAGCAAAAGGGAATGAATGTTAGAACAGGGGACTACCATAGGCAACAGGATGAGACTGGGAGTCTGGGGAGATTAAGGTAACGAGAGATCTGTGAGCAAATACCTGGGTTGCTAATGAGGATACCCTTGATTGTGTCCTCTGCACACCAATTTAACAGAAGACAGACATCTGGAATGTGAGCAGTAGCAGACTATAGGCTGGGTCCCAGAAAGAATAAAGGGGAAAGGGGGGTTGGAGAGATGGTTTAGCAGGTAAAGCATTTGCCTTGCGGGAATAAGGGCATGAGTTTGGAGCCCCAGAATCCCAACAAGGATAGATACAATAGGCAAAAATCTGTATCTCAATGTTCCCACAGGGAGATGCAAAACAGAGACAGAAGCATCTCAATGGCTAGCTAGCCTAGTGTGCAATGATGGGCAAGAGACTGTACCCAATAGGATGGGAAATAAGGACCTGAGGCTGCCCTTTGACCATAGTCACATACAAATGTGCACACAGATAAAAAACAAAACAAAACAAAAAACAAATAAAAAGGGAAGAAGGAGAAAGCCAGCTGAGCACTGGTGGTCACTTTTATGTTTCTTGGTCAGCACCATGGACCAAGCTGCCCCTGCCATTATTCTATCCCAAGAGGATGGACTATATTTCTTTGAACTGGAAGTCCAAATACATCCTTTCTGCTTAATTTGCTTCTGTCACAAAAAGGGGAAAGTAGCTGATACAAGATCAAAAGCTGAGTGCCAGAGGAGTGGGCGGGGTCTCGGAGATGAGCAGAGGCATGAGTGCTAATAATGATGGCATTTGCTGGAAAACCACCCTTAAGGCCTGGGAAAGAACTACTCAAAGGCATGAGAGGGAAGTCACGGCACTCACGCCGTTTTCTTCCGAGACAGTAAAAACATAATTCACAAAGCACTGAGTATTCAGGAGCACACTGTCTTTGTAGTGGAGGACACCAACCCACAGAAGCACTTTGTGTGACAGACCCACCTAACAAGTCATAGAAATGAGATCTGAAAGGCTCAACTACTACTAGGTAAACCATATTTGAAAACAAACTTCAGAAGACTTCAAACACCATGTAGTATAAGCAACAAAGTAAGGCTCAGTCAGACTACTCAAAGGGGGCCAGCCATGCAGAGAAGCAGCAGAAAGGAAATTCCCGAAAATAAACAATCACCATCTCAACAGAGTGAAACTTTGAAGATTTAGGTTTATCACAATTGAAAACTTCTTAGAGAGCATTGGGGATCAAGACAGCATAGTATCAGTGCAAAGTCAGGGTGAAGATTATCTTGATGTTTACCTTGATTGAACCGAAACACTTAGGAGATAAACTAACAATGTGAACAGACCACAGGAAGAGGGAGCCTGGCCTGAGTGAGCAGGTCACTTGGGGGTGGTCTTGAAGGGAAGATCTTGCCCGGATCCCTTACTGCTCTTAGTGGGGTGGTGTGAACTGCTCCATTCTTTCATGCCCTCCCCAGAACACTGAACTCTATAAAATCATGAATAAAACAAATCTTTCCTTTTAAGTTATTCCAAGAGTTCTGTCATAGCTACAAGAAAGCTTAGCTAACAGATGTAAGATTTGAGACTCTAGAATTCTTTTTATTTATAAAAAGAATTTTTCTTGGCTCATTTTTGCCAAGAAAAATCAATGGGAGAAAAGATAGTTTTTTTTTTTCAACAAGCTGGACAAGGCATACTTAACTATCTTGGTTTAAAAAAAAAAAAAAAAACCTGGTGTGTGCATATGTATGTGTGAGTCTGTGCAGACATGTTCCAAACTGTGAGTAGTAGGTGGCATAGGTGTGTCTCATTCTCATGAGAGAACAGGTGAACCTGGGTGTCAGTCTTCATTTTCTACCTTGTTTGTAATAAGTTCGCTGGTTGTTTGCTACTGTAAATGCCAGGCTAGCTAGCTCAAGGGTGTCCAATGTAAATTCTCTTGTCTGTGGGAGTGTTGGGATTATAGAATATATGCTACTGTGTCCAGTTTTAGGTAGATTCTGAACTCAAGTTCTCACACTTGTGAGGCAGTACTTTACCCATTGAACTATTTCCCCAGCTCTATCTTGGCTTTCTTTAATAAAAGATTCACTTATTTTTGCTTTTCAAGTGTTTGCCTACATGTATGTATATGTACCATGTGTATGTTTGGTGTCCATGGAGGACAAAACAGGGAGTCAGATCCCCTGGAACTGGAGTCACAGAGAGGGCCTCCATGTGTGGTGCTGGGAATAAAAACTGGGTCCTCTGCTCTTAACTACTGGGCCACCTCTCCAGAACCCTTACATTAGTTTTTAAAATGTGTTCCATGGACACTAAGGAGTGGCAAGAAAAGGACAGATATATCATTGTGGTCTCCCTGTGATAACTTCTATGTGCTTTTATTTTGATTTGGCAGGTAGATTTAACTCACAGAATTTATGACTAAGCCATTTGGAAACCACCAGCATAAAAGCATTACAGGCCCATTCTATTCCTAAACACTGCAATGATCTATAGATGCAAAGTGCCCATCAGTTCATTTCATGTCTTTTCCTACTGATCCAACTGTTAACTACCCTTATTTAAGTGTGAATCAACATCTCCCATGAGGATCTTTTTAAAAAAGGAAACAGAAGTAAAAACAAAACAAAAAACCCCAAAACTGGTGGTGATAAAAAATGAAACAAGTGGTAGATGACTGAAATTTATTGAAGCTGGAACATTAGCCTACTGGGGCTCATATACTCTAACAAATGCTTTTCGATATTTTCAACACAAATATTTAAAAATGGATATATCTTGAATGAAAGGATATAAAAACTAGAAGAAGTTCATCTCCTATGATTTTAGCATGAACACATGACAAAAATATTTTAAAGTACATCCAAAGTCACAACACACATAAGGAACAAAAGGGGAGAATCATAAAATTTTTTGAAAGAGCAAAACAGGTAAACAGCAAATAAGGGACCACTGACTAGAAAGACTACCCAATCCTGAAATCTAGCTGAGTAAGATGGCTCACACCTTTAGTCCCAGCAATCAGGAGGCAGAGGCAGACAGATAGATCTTTGTGAGTTTGAAACTAGCCAGGGCCACAGAGTAGATCTCCATCTCAAAAAACAGTACTAAACAATTTAAAATCAAATCTAATGGTAGGGACTAAAATAAGTCATTCCACAGAATGTTTCTTCTCTTCTCCCTCTTGACTGCTTTGTCTTTGTTTTCGAGACAAGGTAGCACTCTATAGGCCAGACTGGCCTCACACTCCCTGATCTTTCTGCCTCAGCCTCCTGAGTTCTGGGTTCTCAGACAAGACCACTGGTGCCTCACCTTTTCACCATTTAGGGTACACACTGAAACACAAAAGAGCTGAGTAGATCCACTCACCCATCTTTTATCACATGCTCTTTTAAATGTTGTGTCCAACAGACCTTTGCCCAGCTCACAGTCACAAGTATTATACCTGTTTTCTAGCTACATTAAATTTAGGTCTGTTATTCCTTTGGAACTAATTTTTTGATATTATTTAAAAGAACAGTCTAATTTCACTACGTGTGTGGGCACATATGTGAATGCATGTTTGTGTAGAGGCTGGAGGTTATCTCTTTCCACCTAGTTTTTTGAGTCAGGCTAGCCAGTGAGCTCTAAACAGGACCCACCACTTTCCACCCCCCAACAGTCCCTCATACCTATACTTACCCACCCCAGTGCTAGAGTAACAGATGCATACCAACATGCTCAGCTTTCCTGTGAGATTCGAGGACTGTACTCACATACACTTTATTGTCCGAACCACCTCCCAGCCCCTACTTCAGTCTATGTGGATGTCTAGTTGAGCCAATACCATGAATTCCATAAAAAGTAAAGTTAATGTGAAAGTGCTGACATATAATCCCAGTACTCTGAGGCCAAGGCTGGATGATCATAGTGAGAGGCCAGCTTGGGTTACAAGCATAGGGAGACTTGTCAAGAGACTGCAGGTGACAGCAACAAGTGGCTGGATGGTGTACACCTGTAATCCTAGTGCTTGGGATGGAGACAGGAGGAGTGGGAACTGAGGCCAGTCAGAGCTCTGTGTCTCCCCACAATTAAACAATAACACAAATAACTAAATGAGCAGAAATTAGTAAAGAAAAAGACAGACCAGCTTAAGATGAAAATAAAAATTTGTATTAGAAAAAAACCCAACCAATGCAAAATAATGAAATGAAATGAAAATATATTTGTAAATTATATCATATACAGAAAAAAAACACTTAAAAACAGAAAAGAAAAAGGCTATCAGGCTGGTTTTTTAAAAAGGGGATAATACTATAAATAAGAACAGGCAGTTTAGAGGAGAAAAGAAAGTGGTTCATGAAGGAAACAAATATTAACTATACTGAAGACTTTCACCCTGAATCTTCCTTGTGGTGTTAATTTCATGGCTGATTTAATGTCAAAGTTCCCCAAGACCTTTTTTGGGGTGGAACTCAAGGCTGAGCTACACCTCCAAGTGAAACAACTGTTCTTTATTGTACATCTAGTGCAGCTCAATAAAACTGTAAAGAAAACAAAAACATTACTTCTTAATGTTCACAGCAGCAAAACATTTGATAATGCTTGGTTAGGTATCTAAGGGGCCAGACTCTGCTCAGATGTAGAATTCAATGACTTTATTGTCTGCTGCAAGACAATTCTTTATCCAATGTAGGCAGAGAAACCAGAAAGTGGGACACCCTTGACCTACACTAATAAAAATGCTTTACTACCAAATCAATTCTCTACATACAGTTAGAAAAACTCAGACCTGACGGACGTATATGTGAAACACAGTGATTGCTTATTCTTGGCCTCTAA